CAGGTCTTTCTCTAGTTATTATTATTATTATATTCAGCCCACATCTCATCCAGATTCCCTTTCACTAGGATACATTGTCTATAGAAGAAGACTGCAGTGTCCCTTCACACACTTCTGTGATCTGGGCCCAAGACGTGTTTCCTAACCTTTGGCCTGTTTCTAATGGATAAATGTTAAGCTCCGGGGACACTTTGCATCATTATGAATAACCACAAAGTTTGTCCAGTATAAGTTTCCAAGTCTGAGATCATCGATATAAATTTTTATATAGTGTTCATTTGGGAATAGTGGCAACCATACTGTGTAGCTTTCTGCCAATACCATTCATATGACAGGAATGTTGAACTGATGCTTTCTGTGTCCTCGCTCGGCGAGGGGTCAACATAATTTACTCACCCAGCTGTGGTTTCAGTCGATTCTCTGATCTGACGTCCTTTGAGAGTCCCTGTTGTGCATGGAGACAAGAGCAGAAGTTCCCCAGTGATCTTTTTTTAATCTTAAAAGACCTGGGATCGAACAATGCACCTACTCAAGCTGTGTGGCTACATGGTGCATCTGCTGAACTGCAATGGAGTTAAAGTCAGGTATCTCTAATATGGGGTTAGCAATGAGAGTAATATTACAGAATGAAAATGGCCATCATCTGCTATTAACTGTTCTGTGTTTTTTTGTTTCCTTTTTGTTGTGGTAACAATGGCTTTTACATATTTTGCCAGATGTTCTGCTGCTTCACTATGGATAACCTCAATAGAAACTCTCCCAGGGAAGAGAACAGAACATTATGGTGGATCTGTTAACTAGTCAAATACTTCCATAGCTGCTTCCATAACCTCACCTCCCACTTTACTAACTAATCATGGGAGGTTCAACTTCTGCATTGATCGGTTTTATGTAAATGTTTGTGTAAATGCATCTAATCTGAGCCATAAAAGTGAAAAAAGATGAGACATCCTTCAGCCACCAATGTTTTGTGCTTTTTCTTTCCTGTAAAAGTTTGTCTATTTTCTATCCAACTGCTTGCCCAGTCCATGGACTGGTTTAATAAATTTGTTCTTACTTTGTAATAGCCATCCATCCATCCATCCATCCATCTTACAACTGTTTATCTAGTGTAGGGGGCTGCAGCCTATCCCCAACAGCAAATCTGTCTTATGCCCTACTGTGTAATATATCATCTTTAATTTCATGTTCACTTTTGCAATGTAATACTCTATAAACATTCTCCTGTAAACGTGTGACTATATATGGGAAAGGATTTGGGAGATTGAGAATTCCTTGACCAGGAATGTAATTTTAGGGTTTTTTTATTAGCGTGTGCAGGAATGGCAAACCATGAGAAACGTGACATTGTATTTTATTGTAGATCTCTGCATTTTGAGGCAATGTAGGGTGATTGACAAGACAGTCACAACACGAAAAGGAAGATCTAAAATATGTTGGGGGGGGGGAAAAATCTACAAAATATTCATTATTGTTCAGTAAGCGGAACAGAAAAAACCAAGTGTGGATACAGGACTTGTTGCACAGTCCTCAGGCCTGACTTACTGCTGTGGAACAAAACAGAACAGTTTATATCAAAAGCCATGAAAATAGGAGAACAAATCAATACAGAGAACTGTGTACCTGAACCTCCCACCGGGGATGGACATTAAAAGGACGTGAGAGTTGAGGTTCTCGAGTGCTAGGGCCAGCAGATTTGTTGACTTGCATTGTAATTAGTCCCGAGACACGGCTCTGTTACTCGCACAAAGGCCTTTCATCGCTTTTCATGTCATTGTCCGGTGGCGACGCGTTCGCTCTAAACCAGCGTTTCATTCGGCTGCTGGCGTTTGAATAAAAGCTTCTTTGGGTGCGTGGGATTCCGTGCGCGTCGCACACCACGGCGCCTGGGCTCAGGGAGGGGGCCACTGGTAGGAGCCGCAGCTGTCCGTAAGCACGACAGCACTCAGAGGCTGATTTCATGTCCTTGGGGGGGGGGGGGGAATCTGAGAAATCATTCCTAATGGTGTCTGTTTAAAATTTCTGTATATTCTGTTCCTTAACATAATTTTCATACAAATGATCCACACATGGCAACACATCGATCAAAAATATTTAGCAAATTCACAGGATGTAAAATTTTAAAGGGAGAGTATATATAGTCAAATATAATATTTAACTATGTGGTCAGACTAATGGGTAGCAGTGTTGCTTCACACCCTCTGTGTTGGGTGTAGAGTTGCAGAATTCTGCCGACACTCTTGTGACATCTGTATGTTCTACTTCTGTCGTGCAGGATTTCTCCATGTGTGTCTGTTTCCTCTCACAGTCCAAAGACATGCAGTTGTGTGAAGTGGCATCTCTGAAATTGCCTGTGGTGTGTGTTTGTGTCGTGGGATGGATTGCCATCCCCTGCCTTGAAACTTGTGATTTCTGCTAAAATCCTCAGGTTCACCACAACCCTGTCCTAGATGGAAGTGGTTAGGAAATGCATACTGACACAGTGGATGTGCTGTAGATGTCCACATATTGATGCTGGTGGTCATAATCTGGTCTAAATGCAGTTTAGAACAACAACCTAAAGTTGACTGCGGTCTAGAGCAGTGTTTCCCAGTCCAGTCCTCAGGGACCCACAGACAGTCCACGTTTTTGCTCTCTTCCAGCTCCCAGTAGAGAGCTAGGAAGGAGCAAAATGTGGACTATCAGGCAGGGAGCTCAGAGGGAGCGAAAACATGGACCGACTGTGGGTTCCCGAGGACCGGACCGGGAAACACTGGTCTAGAGCAAAGTAGTGAACCTGTGTCCTGTGCATAGATCCTCCAATACCTGCCTGTGGGAGACCTTCTCAGGTGTGCCCAGGTGAGCCACTCATGGAAGGTCATCACCCAGATGTCCTCTCTCTGGGGCAAGGTCAGTTCCTGATTCCTGATCTTTTCATTGTGATATGTCCACCTGTCATTATAACTCAAACATGATGAGAGTGTTACGCTGTTTCCCTTGTTCCACTTTCCCCCCTTTGTTAGAGACTGGTACGTTTTATTTTATCTCTCTGCTTCCCCTTTTCTCTCAGATCAACTTCTCCATGGAAAAAGATCACGTCAAGGACAGTGTGGTCGTGCGAATCCTGCAGCGGTATCGGCCCTTTGTGGTCCATCTGAACATGCGAGGTTGTAGCGCCCTCCAGTGGCCCAGTTTCGAGTGCACTGGTAAGCACTGCAGTTCCAAGCTTCGCTGTAGTTTTTCCAGCATGTGTTTCTGCTCAGAAATAGTCCGGTTGGCCAAACTGTTCTTTCCCTGCCCAATAAATCCTGTGCTGGTGCTGTGACATACAGTTTGCCATCTGAAGTAAATCTCCAGACACCACAATATTACTTCTGTAATGGTTAGATGTTACAGTGTGTTTCAGCACTTTTCCCTCTTTATCTTTGACTCCGCACCCTTATTAAACATTGATGGTCTTTATTAAAGCAGTGAACCTTGTCAGGTCGGCAGTTAAGTTTTTTTTTCTTATTCCATGTTTTCAATCGCTTTCATACATTTGCTAAGTAGCCGTTTGAGTGGCACAGCAAACTTCCTCAGTTTATTGACAGAAAAAGGATGAAACCACACAGACCCTTAAACGATTTAAAATTGGGATACAAGGAAGTAGTTTAAAACCAAAAAAATGCTAGGGTACAAAAATGGAAAAGACTTTGTCATGGGACTCAGGCCAAATTCGAATATCCTGCAAAAAAGGGCAGTTCTGTAAAAGCTGTCAGTTTTGTCTCTTGGTTTTAACTCTGACAGTGTTGTATCTCTTTGAGTCTCTCAAAGACCTTGGCAGCTGGTCTTTGGAGTATTGACCGATTCTACCCATGACTTCTAGTGCATTGGGTTCCTGGTTGCTGGTGTTTTGGGTGCCGGGGTCCAGCGCCATGTTTTGGCCCGGCACTCTGTCCATGGGGCAGTCCCCATTGTAGGTCCTGACGTACTCCTGCACTGACCACCCGGCAAACTCAGCCGGGGAGTGGCAGATAAGACCAGAGTGCTGAACGCCAGGGTGCAGCTTCAGCCAGTAGAGCAGGTAGTGGATATTGTAGTCACACACCCATGGGTTGCCTCCCAGCGCCAGCCTTCGAATGAAGTATAGGTCCTCCAGGACACCATATTGGATATAGTGCAGGCTGTTGTTGGACAGGTCCAGCTCCCGGAGATACAGGAGGCCAGCAAAGGCAGCTGTCAGGTGAACAAAGGATAGATACCTGTCACCTCTATAGTCCGTGTGGTGCCCATTTCCATTAGATGTGGCTTTGGATGATCTGAAGTGAGGGTATGTACTTTAATATGAATTTAGGCCCCTCCGCCCAGCACTCCCCCCACATTATTAAGGAATCTTTAGTTGTGACGGCCAAATGAAGCTTCATGAACCATTCTCTGTGTTTTCTGACCCCACTAGATGGTGCTCTTGGTTTACTTTGAGGCATGCTTGGTGCCCTTTATTGAACAGAAAGCACCATCTAGTGGTGTCAGAAAATACAACAAATGGTTCATGAAGCCTCATTTGGCCATTGCTAGTTTTTAGGTGTAGTATTGTGAGAAGTCATTGAGAAAATCCCTTGTACCTGCCATCCTTCTTCTAGCCAAACTGTCCATCACCCCACAAAAAAAAGTAATGGCCCTTGTGGATGAATAGCAAGTTTTTTTCATCTTGGCTCAATGTAGCTTAGAGTTTAAATGTTTCTCTCTGTTTTTCTCTATAGCCAACTAGCAACTCCAGGACAATACTGAAAGCATTAAGCTGTCCATTTTCTTGGGTATCTGCCATAATATGCAGAAGTCAGTTGTTGAAATATCTTAAAAAGTCATAAATACATTACTACATACAGTAATGCAGTTTATTTGTCTAGTTCTGGTAAATGGAAATGTTTGTCTACATTTTTCAACCACGGGACAGATCTGAGCGTGGCCTGGAGTATAAAAACTTTAAAATGTGATCTGATGTCCCTTGACATCCGAGTTTTTTTTATGTAATGGAATTCCCCTTGTATGCCTCCCTCCTTGGATTTTGACAGGATGTAGAACATTATCAAATCTGCAGTGCTCATGTCCTGTTTAATATTTGGAAGGGTTTCTGTCTGAAAGCACTTAATGCCCCTGTGGTTATGGATGCTGTGGTTTGTGTAAGGTCCTGGTGCCCCAGGTTTTACATAACTTAGTATATATTTATTAATCAAGTTTATATAAATATTCCGTCATACCCATACATACCTGCACAAACACTCACCTGTTTCAACAAGCTCCAGGCCGTTGTTGCTGAGGTTCAGTGATTTCAAATCCTTGGAGTCCAAAAACATCTTAGCCCTGAGATGTTTGATGTTGTTTTTAGACAAGTCGATATTAACATAGTATGGTGGAAGGTCTGCTGGAACGTTTGTCAGCTCTGCGGGGGGTGGGGGGTGAGGAAGGGTGGGGGGGTCAGTACCTCGCACAGACAGACGGATCTGGTAGCATGTTCTGGGGCTGCAGCAGTAAAGTAACAGCCAGTGTAACCATTCTCCCAGCTGGCGCTCAATGGGATTTTCCTTGTGTGACTCGGAAGGGCTGGAATAGCTGAGGAATTCCCACATGCTCGAAGCACATGTGAAATCAGATTGTAGCTGCACTTTTAAAAGTATTTCCAAGAGCTTTCTCAGACATCTGTGATAAACATAGAATACATTGTTGAATGCTCTCGTCAAGTGTAATAAATTCGATTTTAATACTGATCACTAGTAAAATTTTAAAAAGCATCCTAAAATAAAAAGCTAATAACGTAAAGGTTTAAATGTTCACTTTGTTTTATTAGTATTATCTTCCATATGTTCCTGTTTATTTATTCCGTCCATCCATTTTCTGATTGTTTATCCTGGTCATTGGGTAAGGATTTTTTTTTCACTGAAACAAATTTTACATCGTAAAAAAAGCACAGGGATTGTTCTTAGGAATAATATAACTATTGCCATCCATCCATCCATCCATTTTCCATACTTGTCCTATGCAGGGTCACGGGGGTTGAAGTACTGTATAGATTTTGCAAAACAAATAACTCAGGTAACACTTTACATGGGATGGACAAGTAACCTGGTAACTTAATCAAGTACAAATCATGAACAAATATAAGAACTGCATGAAATACATGAATGGTTATGAATGATGAATGAACATGGAATCAATATGTACAGTAACTAACACTTAGTTTTTGGTTAATTAATACAGACGCTCCTCTACTTCCGATTGAAATACGTTCCGAACGGCCGTTCGTAACTTAAAATATTCGTAAGTCGTTATTCAACATCATTTTAAGGGTATACGCAAGTACAGAGAATTAGGATGCTGGGAGTTCGCACGCTACGCTGCTGCGCGGCGGGAGTAGCGGCCTGAAGTCGTACTAGGAGGAATTGGCGCACAGAATAAAAAATTGATGTTGCGGACAGGAAATGGGAGCCCAATGAACATGATTTGGACTTGCAGCCCTCTTCGTTCGTATTTCTGAAAGTTCTTAAATTGAAAGTTCATAAGTAGAGGAGCGTCTGTATATTAAGAGTGTACTACTAGGTAATTTGTGCCCCCTTAGGTAAAGTGTTACCGTAATTCTTATAGTACACTACCTTATGTATTACAAAATGTGCCGTGAAATCTTTTGGTGATCAGCCATGATATCTATTGACTGCGACACAGTTTGGAATCTTCATGGATCCTGCCAGGCTGTCTGTCACATGACAGCATATGGCAGCAGGATTGACCAGCATTCTGACTGTTGCGTCTATAGGAACGGAAGTGTTTTGGGATGTTCAAGCTGCAAATGCACTCGTGTGCTGTCTGACCCTATGCAACACATGCAGTGCGCATTACTGAGTCTCCGGATGGAGAAATGCTTTCCATTTCTGCTCTCGTGGCTGCGTCTTGGCCACGGCTGTTTTTACATTTGCTTTTTATCCTGGGAGAAGTAAGGAAGTGAGCAATCGGAGGCTCAGACTGACATATAGCCCTGATGTGTGCGGCAGATTGCGTTACAGAAAGCTGGTGTTTCACTGGCTCTGCGGTTGCTGCATAGGCATTTTTGGGGGGGGGGGGTGTTGGTTGGTGAACGCACCCCCAGTTATATTAGAACTTGCCCATGGTGGTGTGTGGATTCTGGTTGCTCAGCAGCTTCTCAGAGGGAGGGAACGTGCTGGACGGATATTATGCTTAAATAAACTCTCAGCCTATAATTAAGATTTTTTTCGCAAAGGAGGACCTCATTTTTTCTCAACCCGCACCCCCCCTCATCCCCTTTTCCTTTCCTTTTCTTCTTCACTCCCCTTGGCAAAAAGTCCCAGGATCATGAAGGAGAACTGCATACCCAGGGGTCCAAAGCCACTGCATACCCAGGGGTCCAAAGCCACTGCATACCCAGGGGTCTAAAGCTACTGCATACCCGGGGGTCCAAAGCCACTGCATACCCAGGGGTCCAAAGCTACTGCATACCCAGGGGTCCAAAGCCAGTCTGGCTGTGCGATTTTTACAGTTTCACAGAGATGGAAAATAATAAAAGAAGCGTCCCTCGTATGTGACCGCAGGCCATAACTCCTGACTGTTTGCTGACATTGACTGTGAACCAGGGTGCCTGAGCGACTGGCGGTAAGGTAGGATGACAAACAGCATTCCCTGGGGAGCTGCGGGTCATCGCTCTCTCACCACTCCTCTTATCATACATGCTCAGAAGCTCCTGCGGCTCAACAAGTAGAATTTTGCACTAATAATGTAAAGGTCGTGGGTTCAAATCCCAGGGAACACACACAAATTGTAACCCTTCCCTGTGTTGTAAGGTGCCTTGGATAAATGAGTAGATTGTAAACATCTCTAGAAGTTTCTCCCACTTAAAATTTATATGTGACAACAGTGTCTGTTTCCCACGCTTCTCGTGGGGACATGCATTCTGAGTGAAAGTAGCAACAACCCATGTTGTTACTGTCACTGGAGTCCGTCACCAGAGGTACATTTCCAGATGATCCCTTGAACAAACCTCTTTGTTGTCTTTCTTATCTACTAATAACCACTTGACAGCCTTATTCTGATTAGGAGCGGCGCCATTCTTTCACACGACCAGAACACGTCCCATTTTAGGTTCCCTGAAAGTCAGCATTACCGCTATGCCTTATGCGATTGCTAGTTCTGCTGCACCCTGAAGCCGCCTGATATTTCTGCACATCATCTCAGAAGTAAAGACTGACAGGGGAGCAGTGACTGTTTCACCCATTACAGCTGCAGCGAAAGCTGAAAGCCACTAAGGTTTCCGTCTAAAGTTTTGGGTTTCTTCCGAACATCACACAGATTTCCGTGGTCACTATGGTAATATCTGCTGCACTTTTGCAGACGTGCTTGATCTGCCTTTGTCCTGTTGAGAGTTTGTGAGAAGGAGATGTGTTCCAAAAGCCACAGGATGTTCCTTGCCGCATCTGTGAGCAGTAAAACTGGCACGGGTCTTTTACGCTATCACCATATACTATAATGTTGCTTGCTGTGTATGCCGTTACTTGTTGTTAATGTTACATGTTTTTGTGCAAATTACAAGGGGCTGAGTATTATTTGGCTGACACTATTGTCCAAGGTGACATACAGTTGAGAAAACAGGGTGAGTCCTGGAAGCAATTAGGGGTTAAGTGCCTTGCTAGAGGGTCCAACGATGAAATCACTCTACTGACCCTGGGGTTTGAACCAGCAGCCTTCTCATCATAGCGTCCTTACCCACTTAGCCACTTTTCCCAGTGTCACTGGTAGCAGCAAGGCTGGTGACCAGTGCTGCGCATAGCCCCAGCTCTTCCCCCCACCCCCTGTTAGTGGTGGAGGGTGAAGGCATCCATCACTTCTCGTCAATGTGGAAACCAGAGACAAAACTGGCAGAGGCTAAAGGTAAAGGCCCTAACAGTCACCTGTTAGCTGCCAAAACCACAACCGGCTGAGAGCCAGTACAGGCAATACAGGCTGATGCAATCGATGTATTTGCTCAGCAGATTCAATGACCACGGCAGCATTTAGCCATGAGTGTGGAAACAGTCCAAGATTTTTATTCTCTAGTTGTGTTCGGTGAGAAGCTGCTGTTTCTGAAATTACAGCTGCACTGGTTTTTATGTGTGCTAGCATATATTTATGGCTGAGACATGCATGATAAATTGCAGATGACGGCTAGGTAGATAGACCTGATAGACTCCCCAGATAGGACTGGAGGAACACGGTGCATTTGTCTGTTTTCCTATGTGAGGTTGTGTACGTCTTGGGTCTGCCTAGATTAAGCGACTCTGCTTACTCAGCTCGGCTCTGAACCCTCCAGTTCCCCAGCTCTGTATAAAGCTGTCACACAGGCTGGCCACAGCAGAAGACCGGCACCCCCTTGTAAAGTTTCATGTTAAGAAGCAGCAGCCACCTCCTGTGCTTGTGAGTGCAAGTTAGAGATTGATGAAGGTTCCTGTGGGAATGAGCTGTTACTGAAAAAGCAGCACAAGTGAGCATCCAGGGCTGGGGCTGCTCACATTCCTTATCACTTGTTTATTTTTCATTATGTACACATTCCCACATGTACAGGACCCCACTCATACACATCAGCTGTGCCTGTTGGCCAGGGGAGCCCAGCAGAAATCCGCACTGTGCCTGGCTGAGTGTGTCTGGCTAAGAGTACCATGCGAGAGTGCCATGCTGAGCGTGCCATGCTGAGTGTTCCATGCTGAGTAAACCATGCTGAGTGTGCCTGGCTGAGAGTACCATGCGAGAGTGCCGTGCTGAGTAAACCATGCTGAGCGTGCCTGGCTGAGTATACCATGCTGAGTGTGCCGTGCTGAGAGTACCATGCGAGAGTGCCATGCTGAGTAAACCATGCTGAGTGTGCCCGGCAGAGAGTACCATGCTGAGTGTGCCATGCAGAGTATACCATGCTGAGTATACCTGGCTGAGTGTGCCCGGCTGAGAGTACCATGCTGAGAGTACCATGCTGAGTGTGCCCGGCTGAGAGTACCATGCTGAGTGTGCCCGGCTGAGTGTGCCAGAGCACTACAGACCTGTGGATTCCCATGTACCCACTAAGCATCCTGTCCTTGACTCTCTTCTATATGAAGCACCTCAGTTGTCTGAGGACCCAATGGGGTCTCATAATTACCCATGATTTAATATTTTTTATCACCAATTCAAGAGCAAATTTCCAGAATTCACTCAGTCCATTTTTTGTTGTTTTTGAGGTGAGACCGCCAATGACCTTATGTCAGGTGTTACAGTATGAGGAACCAAAAACTCACTCAGTCCTCATAATCCAACCAATATATTTCATTACATTTGTCCCATAATCCCCAGAAATGTTCTGGTAAACATGTGAGTTTTGGATATCTGCTGTTCGATTACTTCTTTTAAGGCCACAGGGTTTATTAAATTTCTGATATTGATCAATCAAAGATAAGCAGTAGTGCTCACCTCCGTCACGGCAGTCCAGCAGCGACATGTAGGTTTTGCATGCGGTGCTGGTGTAGGTGCGCTGTACGCTGCCTGTGGTCTTCGTGCCCGGTCCCTCCGGCTCCTGCAGGGCATTATCCTCTAGTGATGGACACAGCTGCTCTGGCTTCACCCTCTTGAGCCTGTGGCCCCTGAGCGTGTGTGGCTCCGCGCATTCGGCATAGTTCCCTAGGTTACGTTTGCCGGGCACTTGCAGGGTCCTGACCAGGCTGTCAAGTTGGCAGCGGCAATCCCAGGGGTTGTCATAGAGACGCAGATAGGCAAGGAGAGGCAGCGGCAACAGTGTCTCCTCGTCGAGGTCACGCAGGCCATTGTGCTGCAGCAGCAGCGTGGTGAGATGGGCAAGTCCGGCAAAGGCCCGGCGCGACACCTGGCTCAGCTCGTTCTGCTGCAGGTCCAGGCTCCTCAGGTTGGGGAAGTGGGCAAAGGCATCGTTCGGAAGGACGTGGATCTGGTTGCGGGCCAGGAGCAGGTGGTGTACATCGCTGTGCTGGCCAGCCGGTACCGCGCTCAGCCTCCGCTCTTGGCAATCCAGGTACCGCTCCCCAGCCTCTGTGTACTCCACGCACTCCTGGGCAAAGCGTTTGGCGGTGCCCTGCCGCGCCCTGCCACGAGCCTTGGCTCGCCCCGCTCCGCGCCGGGCACCCCCAACGACGGGGGACCCCCAGAGCAGGAGCACCAACAAGGCCACAGTCATGCGCATCCTCCGGCCGGCCGGGGCAGCCAGGGGCGGGGTGAGTGGGCCCAAGGCGGGCACCTTCGAAGGCTGGTTATCGCTGTGGCGTCCCTGCATGGTGCGACAGAGAGAGATAATACCAGGGTGGCAGGCTATGAACCTCCAGCTTCCTACAAAGTACCCGGGTGCCCTGTAAGCGGCGCGTATCTGTGATTAATCTGGAAGGACTCTTCTCCATCAAAGCTTGGCACATTCATACGGTTGTGCATCTGGGCTGGTTCAGTTTATTGGTCATTAGCGGCGCTGAGCACAGCAGTGACTTTATGGATTCATGCCACGAGCTTAACTAAACTCTAGACTGTTCCTTCCTGCTAGACTGAGACCCCCAGGCTGCCTCCATTCTGCTCCAGAGTTAACCTGTAATCGGAACAACTGTTACTGCTCGTTGCTCAGCAAGCTTTGTTGCCAGGGTACTCTTGTTTGCATGTCTAAATGCACAATGAGGCTATTTGTTAATAGGATAATACCTGCTGAATCATAATTACCGTCCTTGCAGATTGCGCATTGATTATAGCATTGCATCACGTACAGTAATTAGGTGGCGACAGCTAAGCTGTGATGCAGGCTGTTGACATCTGGGGGTTTTGAGCCACTTGCCTGTTATTATTTTGTCTTCTGTGATGTCACCGTGATTTCAAAACTGGCAGCTGAGTCCTGGTGAGCATGAGCTGACTCAGAGTTGGGATTGTAGATCATCACTTAAAAAAACATGCTAGACATTGCTTTCATCCAACGGGAGGCTCGTGGGGCCTGCAGCTCCAAACTTTGGCCCATATTACACAGCTGCTTTTTTCAATCTGAGCTGCGGCAGCAATTCTGGCACCTGGGCTCTGAACCTGTAGTGTTGTGGTTCACTTCATTAACTTCCGTGCCACCTGCAGCTGGGATGAATGCATCCCGGTCTTAACCTCACCCAAGGCCTCCTCTAGGGGTCCCAACCCGTCACAGGAGGGGCCTAGGAATGAGCACCTCCCCGATCGTAGGCGGTGCTGAACAGCCCCGCGTCCTGTTCGGCCGGGGAGTTTCTTAAGCTCTTTGCTTTTGTCTCCTTCTGCAGCCAAATGCAGGAACCTGCTGGAGCTCAATATATCTGAGTGCAAAACTGTAAATGTAAGTGATGCAACCATCTAAGTATTTAGAGACATTTTGGTGCACCACTTTTATTTCTTTTGTCAGACTGCATTGTTCCGCTTTTGCTAACCAAAATTATTCTTTTTTTATTTTAATTAAAACAGGATGAAACTGTGAGGGTGATTGTAGGGGGCTGCCCCACTCTGCTCTACTTGAATTTGTCCCACACTGCTGTGACTAATACCACCATTAGAAATCTTTCAAGGTAATTTTTGTCCAAAAGTAACTGATCTTTTGCATTTTAAGTGGTTTCAGAGATATGTCCACGTACATGAAATGTTCGCTGTTTAATTCGCGAAATGCATTTTCAAACACGTTACAGATAAAGTCTGAATGGGTAAGTGGCTGTTTTCTGCACCTGGCAGACACGGGTGAGGGTGCAGGTGGCATAGCTGAGAGATGTGCCGTTTGAACATCATCATCTTGAAACATCATCCATGACAGACGCAATTTACCCGGCAGGGGGTCAGTGGGAAGAATTTTTGTAAGCCCCAGAGAGGTGATTTCATCAGCACATGTAAAAAACAGGGAATTTCTGCAAGACTTAGTAAGAGCACAGCCTCTACCAGCAGAACCCAAAGTAATATGACCGTAGGATTACCCAGCATCCAGAATGCCCCCCGGCTTTCTCTGCGTCTGGAAAAAAAGCACCCCCCCAGATTCCACAGCCTTCATCAGAAAGACCTTGCACAGCCCCCGCGCGTAATTAAAACCATTTGCGCTCTGTGAGTGAGAGGGAGATAGGTCAGGAACACAGAGCATTTCCATTCATCATTCCTCTCCAGAGTGAATAACGTGAAAACCCGATTTAGAGAACTGTTAGGATGTGGGGGGGGGGGGTCAGACAGTCTAAGAGTCTAAGTCTTTAGCATTTACTTCCACCCCTCCTCCACGTCGCTTTATGTTTTGCCTGCTTCAGACTCACAATGGCACTTAACACTAACTGAGCAAATGCACTTTGCTTTAAAAAAAAAAAATCCCATAATTCTGTTAATGCTTTGTTAGACCCTGAAGCCCACAGCGCAAAGCAGGACTGTGACATTTAGGTGGCATCCCTGCAATTCTTCAGCTGTAAGATGCCATTCGTGCTGTGTCGAGGTGCCATGCATCTGTCCAACAAGTCAAAAACAAAAAAAACATGTTGGAGAAGTTGAGCACACCTGTGACCTGTGACCTGTGCTGTCTAGGTGCTGTCTGAGTCTGCAGTACCTGAGCCTGGCTTACTGCAGAAGCTTCACGGACAGAGGCTTACAGTACCTGACCACAGGGAAGGGCTGCCACAGGCTCGTCCACCTGGACCTCTCGGGCTGCACTCAGGTGGGTCCCGCGCCGTGCCGCTCCGCACCCCGCCCTGTCCTGTCATGAGCAAGGAGCCAGCGTCTAGAGGAGAGAGAGCAGCTTGCTGCCTGCCACGGACACTGTGGGGCTGGGGGGCTGCGCTGATCTTAAGTTACACGCTCGTTCTCTCTCTCTGCCTCTCTCACTCGCTCTCTCTCCCTCAGTCTCTCTCTCTCTGCCCTTGTCCTTTTCTGTCTCCCTCTCTTCCTCTATTTCTGCTCCTCCTGTCTCACTCTTTTTCTGTCTCATTTCTTCTCTGATTCCTCCCGTCTTTGTCTCACTGTCTCTCTCTCTCTCTCTCCACCTCGCCCTACCCTCCCTCCCCCAAAGCAAGCTGTCCCACATTCGCCCCCCTCCAGCTGTGGCTGCTTTCAGGCCCCTGGCTACCCAGTCCCACAGTCTGGCTTGCAGGGAGTGCGTCATTGTTAATCACTAGCCACACAAGCTACTGGCCAGACTTTGTTGCTGAGGTAACCAAACTGGGGTGGGTGGGTGGGGGGGGGGATGCTTATAAATAAATACGGCCACGTGGAAATGCTAGTACCTACGTTAAAGCCCCTTGGACCTGAACTACAAGCGAACTCAGGGGTATAGAGCGTTTTTTTCCCCAAAAAGATTTAATTGTTTTTGTTCACAGAAAAGTCCTGTTGATCATGTAAAAATCCTCATCACCTAAAAATGATCCTCATCCACTTAATTAAAAATATAAAAATAGTTGCATCCACAGACTTTGGATCAAGCTCTCCTTTTACAGATGAAGCTGCAATGCCCTGCTATTATAAAAAAAAACAGGCAAAATATTGTTTTGATTGTTAAAAAATATTGACGATAATATAATAGTTAGGCTCCAGCCCCCTAACCCAGACCCTGACCAGGATAAGCGGTTAGAAGATAGATGGATCAATGGAAAATATGTTTTAATAAAACATATTTTACTTCAGGGTTTATACTGATGGGTGTGTGTGCTGCACTGTCTGAACATGTGTCTGTGCTGAAAACAATATCCCATCTGTCCTAATTTGCAGTCAGTCTATGATTGTCATCCACTGCTCCAGAATAAGATCTCTAATGTTATATTTGATACTTGCGAAAGATTGATGCAGGCTGCTGAACATTATTAGCACAGAAAAATCTGTCCTGAAATCGGTGAGGAATTAGGAATGTGTGTGTGCTGTCCTGTATAAATGTATAACATGTATGCAACGTGTATGCAAATATGACTCAAGGCCTAGAGCTTGAATTATTTATGGCAGCCTATAAACAAAATAATCGATCCATATAAATCACTACACTGCAGTTATCTATTAAATAAACCATGCCCAAGTATAATTGAACAGCTTAGGGCGGTTAGCGTGGAATTAGACATTTCATTTATAGATTTTTCAAGGCATCTATACTTCTACATAACTGCACAGTGGTCTTGAACGTCCTTGTAATTGATTAATTAATCCTGAGCGTCTGTTTTCACAATAATGAACCAAAATCAGAAGGGTTTCTATCACCAGGGGAAAAACCGGGTTGCTGTCCAAGTTAAATAAGCTTCTTTTAAACAATCAGTAAGTCCATTTTTCATCAGCATGTACTGCAGCACGATAAGGTTGGAAATGATCAGTCATGGGAAGATCTCCAGCCAGACCTGTTCTCAGTGTTTGTTTTTAGCAGAGGTGGCGATTTCAGGTCCAGAGAGTACAAATTCAGACCAAGATTTTGTTTCAACCAAGCAGTTGAGTACTCTGTGACTGTGACTCTTTATACTCAACTAGTTGGTTGAAACAAAATCTTGGTCTCAATTTGTACTCTCTGGACCTGAAATCGCCACCTCTTGTTTTTACCATCTGTCCAGTCATGAGGCATTTGAAGTGAAGATGAGCACTAGCACATTGGAGGGATTCATTGCCATTGCCGTTTTCAGGACCCGCCTCCATAGCAAACATCTCTCTTCTCCCGCAGATCTCGGTGGACGGATTCAGGGACGTAGCCGTTGGGTGTAGCCAGCTGCAGCACGTCGAGCTCAATGACATGCCGACTATCGTGGACAAATGCGTGCTGGTTGGTGGATTTTGCATCTTGCCAGACGTATTTAGCAAAATATGATTTTAGATGCTTACACGGCAGGACGGAGCTCCAGTCAGAAGTACAGCGGAACTTTCATTTCGGGGACCGAAACTGCAGTTTAATTACTAAACAGCTTCCCTTGGTATGAGATGTGTTTATGAAGAAGCCCGTTAGCATCTGCTATTTCAGATAGCACCTCCGAAGGTCTGGTTTGCAGTACTTGTGTCCTTTCCTGGGCCCCTGGTTGTACCATCTTTTGCTGTGGAATTTTATGCAATTTCTCCACTGTGATCAGCAGTACCCAAGGCCATGATATTGTTTAACGTGCATGTGTCAGCCATGCCCTGGGACGGAGTGTTCCTTCCAGCAGTGTGGGGCAGCAGGTGGTGTGGTGATTGAGGACATGAATTTGCAATCTGACCAGTACCCGTAAGCAAAACTGAAATTGCGCCAGTAAAACACCCAGCTGCATAAATACTTGAGTCACTATTAAATGTAAATGAAATGTAAAGATACATCCTTAAAAGTCAGACAGGAAGCCCTTCAGGAAACATCAGTCATTTTCATTGGTACCAAACATGAATGACTCAGGATGAATGTGTGGCAGTCTGTGATTTGGCAGGAAGGAGTACAGATAAAATGTGGGTGATTTTTTCCCCCCTTTATTGTTTTTGCCTGTGTTCCATTTGTAAGCTTTGTTATGCAAGAATCCTTTGTAGGGCTCTAAGTGGCACATTTATCTGATGATTTTACCCAAAGCAACTTACAGTAGAGGGGTTACGATTTATCTGTACTCTCTGGGATTTGAGCCCCTGACATTTCCACTGTTAGTGCAACGCTATATTTGTTGAGCTACAGGTGTTTTTGCTACAGATGGGACAGACAGATCCCACACCCCCGCCTCTGCTTGAAAATGGCCCGCAGCCCATTGTGAGACCAGCTAAATCATAAATACAATTTATAATATAATATTATTAAAAACGCCATTTATGAATTGAAACACAAAGACAAAATAAAAATTGAAATCGGATTTTGTTACCTTTGCAGGTAACACATCGTGATTAGATTTTTAGGGCACGTCAGGAAAAAAGAAACAAATCTGTTATGTAACAGATTTAAAAACTATGTTTATGACAGAAATTCTAGATCTTCTCAGAATTCCCTGACACTTACATACTAGGCGTTGCATCTGCATCAGGCACCAAATACTGATGTCGACGTTAATAAACACACTGTGAAGAATGATGCAGGATGGCTACGAGGAGAGGAGCTGCTTAATCGCGGGGTCCCTCTTTGCAGGTCATGGTCTCCAGGTGCTCTTCTCTGAACGCAATCTCCTTCCTAGACACGCCCCACCTGTCCGACATCGCCTTTAAGGCCATCGCTGAAGGGTGCCGGCTGCAGTGGATCAGGATTGAAGGTCAGCATCAGGCCAATCAGGGGTGGATAGTTCAGATCCAGAAAACCAGTTGAGTATAAAGAGTCGCAGTCAAAGAGTATTCAGCTAGTTGGTTGAAACAAAATCTTGGTCTGGATTTTTATTTTCTGGACCTGAACTATCCACTTAACTATCCAGATGTCTGAACTATGCCAATGGCATCTGCTCTTAGTGTGGTACACGGGCCAGTGGTCTGACATCATATATATTCTCTGGGACTAGGGAGCTCCCCATATAGGAAGCTTCATAGGTGAAACAGGGACCACAGGGGTATCAGTAAACTAATAAGCACAGTGACATAAAAACTGGGTTGATTTAATTGGGCCCAGGCCCTCCATTGACCAATCTACGGAACCTCTGCAGGAGGCTAATTTAGGGTTGTGATGACAAGTTGCTGAGCATGGAATCTATCGTGGGAACATGGTTCACAATGCATCAGATAGGACTCTGAGCATGTCTAAACACACGCTCTATCACATTTCACAGTCCATCTCTTTGCAGGGTACAGCTGCTCTCCAGTTGCAATCATGAGAGTGCAGTATGTGTGAGAAAGCCTCCTCTGATATTAGCGATTCACTTTGATCTGAGCATGACTCCACTGAGACCCGACTGGTTTTCAGCTGTCGAGATGTACGGCATGAACCGCCTTTGTATCTGTCCCCCAAACCCTTAGCTAATAGTCAAATGACGGACATCAGTTGGAGACATCTCACTAGGAACTGCCCCAGCCTCAGATTCATCCAGGTGGTGGACTGCCCACAACTCTCTGATGCCAGCATGAGATCCATAAGCTCTCTGAAGAACTTGACCTCACTCAGTGTTGCAGACTGCAGGAGGTACGAATCCGGACCCTCAGTATCTCTTGAAAAGCCGATAATGAAGAAAACAAATAAAGATCAGGGTGAGAAAAAAATACATTTAGACATTTTTCTTCAAAAAGTAGTGGAACTTATTTTCAAGTTTATTTTGTACACATTCTTGGAAGTCTAGTTACGCTGAATACTTTTTTGGAACAAGAAACCACTAAGTGCTAGTTTAAAAACCATTGAGAGATGTGTGTAACTAAAGAGGCGGGTGAACTTGCCAGGCCGTTAAAGCCCTTGGAAAGACTAAGTGAAATTTTTACTTAAGTTTCTAAATTGCTTTAAATGTTCCTTTAGTGGTGCGTAATCCTTACAGCTGCTGCATTCAGCTATGCGACCTACATGGCACAGAATGGTCAACTCTAATCATGTGGCACTCAATCGCTCCAGAGTAATAGCACGGACATTTTTGTCCAGTTATGGGAAAAAATGTCACGTCACTTGATGTCACATCATTTCCCATGAAGCATCAGACATCGCTCTATAGGACACAGAAATTGTCTTTTAATTCAATATCATAAAATCGGGTAATTGTTTAGTGTAAAACATTATAGGGTAAGATGGAAAAAATGTCAGAATATTGTAGTAGGGGGCATTTTGCAGTTGTACTGGGAGACGTTGAGCCAAGGCTGGTTAAGGCTGCTTCCCGTTGACGGTGTCTCACCGCAGGATGAGTGACGTGGGCCTGAGGTACTTGCTGGAAGGCCCCTCTGGACCTAAGCTGTGCCGCTTGAACCTGAGCGGCTGCGGCCGTGTTGGAGACATGTCCCTAGTGAGGCTGGCACAGCGGTGTGTACGTCCATCGCGCTCAATGGCGAGGATGCAAACTTTATGAGTGTCTGTTAAGATAATGTAATAATAATAATGAACCTCAAAGCTGGAAGAGGGCTACGCTCATCTGGATGTGTGCATCATTCTGCAGGTGCTCCAGCCTGAGACACCTGGATCTCTCCTACTGCGAGCGCCTGACAGATACAGGGCTGGAGTGCTTGGGACTCTTGTCCTCCCTTGTGTCCCTGGATCTCACTGGAACCAACATCCAGGACCAGGTATCCCAGCTTCCTATCACCGCCTTTCCCCACACAGCAGACTTGCCCACTTGCTTGCTGAACCCATAAAAGCAGGTGGCAGTGCAGGTGATGTGGTGCTGAACCCATAAAAGCAGGTGACAGTGCTGGTGATGTGGTGCTGAACCCATAAAAGCAGGTGACAGTGCTGGTGATGTGGTGCTGAACCCATAAAAGCAGGTGGCAGTGCAGGTGATGTGGGTTCCCTGCCGTTCCTGACACCTGTCAGATGCTCCGTTGGCTGTTAGTGTTTTGTAAGCATTTAATGTTGATGTTTCCAGTGAGGCACTATTACCTGCACATGAGCCAAAGGCTGTCTCTCCCACGGTTCTGGCACGGAAAACAGCACTGATCTCCCCCTAGTACTGGCTGTCGTTCAGTGCTTTTAATCTACTGACAGGCCTATTCCAAGGATGACGATTCGGTTTAATTAGCTAGTAATGCGAAACGTCAGTGTCAGCGTGTGCTGGAAAGTGCTCAGTAAAGGGCCTCAGCTGAGCTCATGCATGACATAGGCTGTTATCTACGGTTTAACGATAATGGTGCTTAAATGCATCTTCCCTAAAGGGTCTGGCATCCCTTTGCAGCATTGCGGCCCTGAGGAATCTGAGTGTGTCTAAATGCCCCTGGATCACAGACGCTGGGATAGAGGTAATGCAGAGCATCACCCGTGGTCATCGCTGTCAACTAGGGAAGCTTCGCTTCTGTTCACATTATCCGCTTTGAAATAACCCAACGCACTGCCTGAACACAATGATAACCTCCTGCGTTCAGGCAGCCCGCATGCTGAGACAGGTCACATCACGAAACACCAAATGCATGGTTTTCCCACCACTGTGACAGAGAAGGGGTAACTCCCATGTAATCCCAGCACCCAGCGCTACTCAGGACAGGACTGCACCTGAGAGTGGAGGTCCCCCTATTGGTGAGGGCAGGGAAGAGCTGACTAGAACAGAAGGCTTGCCTTGAATTGGGGTGACCACCCCGATTCTGCTCCCCTTGCCACAGAAACTGTGTGAAGAAGCGAGGGACCTGGAGAGTTTGGACCTGTCCCACTGCCTCGTGCTGTCCAATCAGACAGTCAAGGCGCTGTGCTGCTCCTGTTGCAACCTCCTCATCCTGCGTGTACGCGGGTGCCCTAAAGTAAGCACTTCAGCTCACGGATTGTATTTTTTTCCCTGAGTCTACCATGAGAACAGTGATTTTGTGATTTAATACATTCCCACAGCCACAATTACCGTCTGACAAAAAGCCATAAAAATGTGACTCTACTGAAGGGATTCTGCTGATTACACAAAAGTGCTGATGATGTACCGATTCCAGGAATAACCCCTAAGAGACGGGGGGGGGGGGGGGCCTTCCCCGTCACTGGAAAGTCTGAGACCCAAGAATTACATTATACCTTCGCTTGATGAAGTTCAGCAGACCAGTATTTTATGCTTTAGCACCAGAGTTGAGGCCATTCCAGAATGCATTCATCAATACCAGTACAAATCAGCAAATGGAAATAGAGTTGGAATTTAAATCTCCCTGAAATTCAAATTCAATTCCAGTTCTGTTCCCCATAGTTTTCTTTGCAATCCCAACTCAAATTCCATTTCCTGATTTGAATTGGAATTGATGAATGCATTCCGGAATGGCCCCTACCCCATTAAACACATTTATATGGCTTATATTTTGCTAAAATAGACCTGTAGTTGTTCCATTAATAAGTCTGAGTTACCTGATTGCTGCGCCGCCTCCTGAAGTTTAGCTCCAGTGTCGTCTCTCGTTCCTGGGCCAGATGACGGACATGGCGATCCAGTACGTGACAGGGGTGAGTCACTACCTCCGCGAGCTAGACGTGAGCGGCTGCGTCCATCTCACTGAGCGCACGCCCAAGCTGCTACAGCGCAGCTGCCAACAACTGGCCTGCATCTCCATGCTCTACTGTACCGGCATCCCCAAGTAAGGCCTCCTACAAGCCTGTGTGACACGCAACGGGTACACTGACACCTCAAAGACAACTAATGTCTCTAAAGAGCCCATAGACTGTTTGTGTGGGTTTTTACATAGTGGGGATCAAATGGCCCCATAATGTGATAAAAACCTGTTATTTTGACCTTGTGGGACCATTTTTTTCTGTCCCCACTCACTTTCTGGATCAAACTCAATTTTATAAAAATCTGAGACAAAAGTCTTTTATTTTGTTTGGTTACTTATGGTTAAGGTTAAAGCTGGGTAGGGCTTAAGATTGTTATTGTTGGGGTTAGGGTTTTTAGCATAGGAATTAATGGACAGTCCCAACAAAGATATGAATACAAAAGTAACTCTGTGTGTGTTGGAATGGCATCCAGACCCTCTGCAACCCTGACCTGGATAAGAGGCTGAGTGGGTGGATGGATGGATCCCCCTTGACTATGCCCACATCCCCCACAGGCAGGCCGCGCTGCTCCTGCGGCCGCGTGCACAGCGCTGGGAGCACAGCCAGGACAGCGTGCCCCCCTGGTACGGCTACAGCAGCGAGGGGCGGCTGCTGCGGCCCATGAAGATGGAGGCCCAGTGTGAGGGGCAGCAGGACACAGAGACGGACAGAGAGCAGCACTGTGCACACAGCCGTCATGGTGACCACAGCTAAGCCCACAGCTGCCTACTGAGGACCTGGGTAAGACGATTCTGCTTGATGCCTTTAGTTGACTGCAAAGGAAGTTTTCCAAAGCTCCAGGTCACTCAACAACATAAAATAAAAGAAACTTGCAATGATTTTTAATCACAGTCCTAATTGCTGTTTGGTTTAATGTCCATATTTCAAAGTAAATCATAAGAGAAAACAAGATGCATCTATTCATGACTTTATATTTAAACTAGGGCTGTCAAAATTAACGGGTTAACGCGGATTAATCCATCACCATGATTAATCTGATTAAAATTTTTAACGCAATTAACCCATGTGCAGCGCAGAATGATTCAAAATCACTGAAATGTCTCTGTCAACCCATTTCGGGTAGTTTTAGTTTGTTCCATTTCCCCTCGGAACTTGTATTCCGAGTCGGATTCCGGAGTTTTGAAGCCGGAAGTGACTACATGCGCTCCCGTTTCTCGGAGATCCGAGAAATATCTCGGAGCAGCACAGAGGATCCCGAGTTCAGAATCCAAGATGGCTGCGCCCTTTATCAACAGAAGGGAAAGTTGTAGTTTTATCCTGTTTAAGCACTACTTCTCATTTGTGGCTCATTAAATCGGTCGCACACGCTATACCGTCCAACTTATCTGTGGATGTGTTGCTATGGAGTTTTATATGTAAAGCACCGCACGTAATGTGTTATCAACTGATATTGCTAACAATGGTAATTAACCAGGCTAGAATTGGACTTCATGATTAGTTGGATTATTTGTCGGATTTATGGTAGTTCGTGCTAATTGTAAGCGAACGAAGATAAAGACCATTTAAACTGAGGTACCTTAAATCCGACAAGTTGTCCGGCTAAGCAAAAAAATCTTGCTTTTTGATATGGGTACATGGTATTGCACTTCTGTGGCAGATGGAATGCATCTGACTCATGTTCAAGATATTCAATAAACATGTTAAGTGCATATATATTCCCTTTTTTCTTGAGTCTGTTTGCTCATGCAAAATTAAATGTGATTAATATAGATTAAAAATGAATGATATTTAATCATGATTAATCAAAATTAATCCACAGGAACCCTGTGATTAATCTGATTAAAAATTTTAATCATTTGACAGCGCTAATTTAAACATTTTACTACAACCGGGAAAATGTTCATACTGACAGTGAACTGATATTTAACAACATTCCTTTGTGCGTTACGTCCATAGAATGATTAAGTTGTGACATGGTATTTCTGAGCTGTCAATTACAAAGCATACAGATGGATTTTGGGACTCAAGTTAATGGTGTACCAGTGAGCTTGAGAAGGTATGGTATGCTTAAAAGTAGAAAAAAGCATTTTATCTTCTTTATTTGACATTTGCAGACATCTAAAGAACATCAGAAGACCAACTACTGCAACCCTTTCAAGCTTCCTGAGGCTGTGTCAAAAACGCACTTCAGTTTCAATACTGTTAGACTTTAAAACATCACTTTAAGTCTCTGTATTTGTTGCAAAGCAGCATACAGTATGTGCAACTGTCTTCAAACCCAGCCCTGTGTGGAATCCCAGTGATTGTGAGCCTTTTGTTTACCACTGAACCATAATGAGACCAGAGGCGGGGGGGCTCGGGGGGTGGGATAACGCTCCACTAGCTCCTGATCTTCAGAGACTCCAGCCAGCTCTGGGACCTCAGCCTGACGATGCCCCTCTCAGCTCGTGCCTCAATCCGGGCCCTGCCCTCACTTTTTCCATTAATATGAGCTGTCGAAAACAAAGGAGAGAAACACAGTCATGCTGTTTACCCAAAGTCCCTCTGTTAGAACATTCATCAGCAGAGCCACAGACTCAGCAGTTCGCAGGAGGATGTGGGGGGTGCCGAGGGCATAATCTTTATCTGAGCTGTCTGGTTTATCTGGGTTTTTCCTTAAGAAGCACTTGAGTTATGCATGTCCTGCATATGAAAGCAGTAACTTCCTATATCTGGGAGTACAAGGCTGCTCTGTGATCACATTATTTTGCCTCTTGCAAAAAAGCAAAAAAAAACAGACATATGATGAGTAGATCCAGCTGTGGAATGCTGCAGTGATGCAGATTCATGTGGAACCGTGACATATGCACTGCAATAACAGTATTATCTAGCAGGGACGTCATCGGATACGAAGCAAACTCAGCATAGAGGTTGCTCTCGCTAGCGGAAAACGCAGAAGCTGGAGATCGGGGTGCAGACATGCTGTTCTCACATGCGAGACATTTCAGTGCAGGTGTTCACGGCGTGGCAAACTGCTGAGGAATCGTATTCCTTCAGGTCTAGCCCCAGAGACTCATGGGAATCGAGCTATGGGGCCTTTCGGAGCTCAGTGCCTGACATCAGTTGTTCAGAAAGTCAGAGTTTCCACAGGAGGCACATCTGGATAAGCGGCTTTGCAAACCAAGCGTTACTAGTAGCTACCCCAGACAGAGCTCAGCTGTGGTAATCCTAAAATAGCACCTACTAGAAGAGTTACTCCTTTGTAACTGTGCAGGACACACAGAGTGATGTTCAAAATGAAAGGACACAGTTCTTTTGCCCGATGTTTAGGCATATCGTCGACACTTCACGCATCCGCTCTGAGGATCAGCGCAGATGGTCTGTGGCTCACCAGTGACAGAGTTGTGGGTGTCTGTGCAGTCGTGCTTGGCCTCCTGAAGATCCACCTCAGAGTTGAGCTCCAATGCGGATCCAGACAGCTGGACCTCAGCCTTTATGGAGGCTGGGACTCTGATGGAGACAGAGCCTGTGGGGAAGAAAGCATCTGCATCAATAAAGGCTACACCACCACTCCCATCTACATCAATAAAGGCTACACCACCACTCCCATCTACATCAATAAAGGCTACACCACCACTCCCATCTACATCAATAAAGGCTACACCACCA